AGAGTGGTGGGAAACCCGACCAGGATTGAGACAGGCCAAGGAGTTCATCAAAAGACGCTCGCCAAAATTCACGACGGACCTCCTCAGTTATAAAAGGAGGATCGTCAGACAAATAGTAGGTCTGCTGACAGGCCACTGTAGGCTTAACAGACATATGAATATCATAGGTCTGGCGGAAGAAGCAATCTGCAGGTTCTGCCAGGAAGAAGAGGAAACCGCAATACATGTAATGTGCCAGTGCGAAGGGCTAGCAAGGGTGCGGTTTCTACAACTTGGAGATGAAAAACCAAGAGCGGAAAGCTATCTTGAGAGGCCATTATCAAATTTGCTCAGTCTGATAAAATGGACGAAGCTAGATGAAGTGCTATAAGCAATCGGAGCCTCCACAATAGATCTGAAAAGGTCGCAGTGGATTAGGCCAAAAGGCCAGCTCCCCAGTTAAATCTAATCTAATCTAATGATATATCGTTCGAAAGGTAATTGAAATTGGGATCGAATGGTGAAATAATTCACAGGGTGTCCCATTTAAAAAAATTAAATTAGGTTCATATCTCGAAAACTGTTCGATGAATAATCTTGCTCTTATCAGTAATCAATTCAACTCAAAAGATTGCTATGAGAAAGTTTTATTCATTTTTTGACAGGACTCACGGTGATCGAGATAATGACGTCACCAATAAAAGGTAAAATCTCAAACACGCTCTGTAGTTCGGCAGCCAAAAAAGATAGACAATCGCGGTTTGCGCCATTGTTTTTTTCACGAGAATCAAGCTCAGGACACCGTGGTCGGTTTTTGTTTAGCACTGATAGTTTCAGAGAAAACCCCAAATCCCATCGAATTTGGCCCACCCTGTACATTACATTAATATTATTAAATTCATATATCTGCTATTGTTATTGAATTTCTAATGTTCACCCTGTATATGAATACTGAACTTATTTTCGTCTCCACATTCTCACGTTTCACTATTTGTGAAAAATATCGGCCACTATGCGAATGTAAGTGAACAAGTCTCTTCAACTCTTCATGCAAATGGTAAGTTCCTGAATTAATAACTATGACACCCGTCATGATAGGAAACTGAATTTTCAAGACAGCGTTGAGGAGCGAATGATGGATATATTAAGAAATAATTAGGGAATTTCACCGATTTAATCATGAATAACAGGGTGATTTCAAAAAACACGATTTTATGTCATTTTCATCATCGAAAATCTCCATGATCACCCTATATATCTCAACGAAATCATGTTCATACGGTATCAGCTATCTTGGGAGGTTAGCAATTCACTCGAATATACAGGATGTGTATGAATAAATCGGTCTTAGGTGTCACCAATTTTTCAAATCATCCTGTATGAAATGTATGAATTGTGATTCACGATGGAATGAGAATAGTATATTGCATGGCTAAATTATTTTTTCGATATTTCATTATTACATCGAATTTTCAGACATCACTGAAATGTTTATATGTTTCACTCTGTAAACAAATACATTATCTGAACCATCTGAATTATGTTGAGTAATATGGAGGTTCGTTGATGATATGAGCGAAAAAGTTGTACTTGGCATCTTTGAATTTCGAGAAAATAATTAAATGAAAAATACCGATTTGTAACTTCAACGCCCTGTATCTCAGAATCTGTTCATCAAAGAACTTTACGATTCTGCAGGTTCAATCAGTTCATCGAATTCTACAACATACTGAAAATTCAGAAAATTTCACCGAGAACCATTTTACGTACTAAAAGTGCGGGGTCCTTTATTTCATTCATGATTCACGAGACGAACGCAACGAAAAATGAACTATGAACTGATAAAACGACCACGCCAACGCCATTGCATGCATTGAAAAAAACGAACGTGGACGATCGGCTTCGTGATTTCTGCATATTCTCTGATGTGGTAGATTTGTACATCACAAAAAGTAAACCTATTAATATTACCGTACGCACTAATACGTAGTGGCAAATAGAAATATCAGGGGTGTAACATTCAACACAATCCTAATACCACTACATAAGAGTTATTTATTAGTCACTGGATATGTAGTGGTGAAATAGTAGATTGTTTTATTAGGATCAAAAGTGACACTTTGTTTGACAAGCGAATTTTGCATTTGCGAGGCGGAGCGTTTAGCGAAGCCGAGCGAAAGCAAAATTTGCGAGTCGAACAAAATCACTTTTGATCCGAATGAAACATGCTATTTTTTCTGCAACCGAAACAAATAACTCAAATAAATATGTGAAGTTACCACCAATACCGTGCCATACGTATGCAATGCAACAAATATTGAAAAATAATCTGTGTAGTGAGAACATTCTACCTGCATCAACAGCAGGTTCATTCAATTTTCAAGGATGTTCGAATTGTCGTTTCAATATAAATACATAATCACTGAGTGACATATTTGTGTATGGACCAGGTGCTCTAATGGCAAATACCGCGTCAGTGCCAGCTATAGAAACAAGACTTGGAAAATGTTAGGTTAGTGAGCACATCAACAATAAGAAGAGCAATTATTTTTTCCTCTCCGTAATACAATGTTTGTCGCTTGATAATCAAAAGAAAGTAGGTAAACAATATCGTTGTTTGAGACAAAAAACTATTGCTTCCGTGATTATCCAAAAACAAGTTATCCATCCCGAGAATAACGAATGAAATACAGATCAAGCAAGTATTTGAATCTTGAAGGCTTCCCTGTTCAAAACAAAAATACTTAACAGAGATGTTAATAATTCCAATACTAAACTATAATAAGGTGTATTTATATCTCCAACATGTGTATGAAATGCCAAAACTGCTGAAATCGGGAACAAATCAGGTATGCCTCTCGACCCAAATAACCAACCGTCACAATGTTGTTTATTCTTGATGACGTCTAGTAGATCCTTTTTAGTTCCTAGGAGCTAAAGTTCAACTTTAGCTCCTAGGAACTAAAATTCAACTTTAGCTCCTAGGAACTAAATATGTTGCCTAGCAACATACCTATTTTTGTGTCAGTAATAGAAACGTCAATTTAAGAGCTAATTTTGGTATCAAAATGGACGACTTTTGTGTCGGTTGCAGAAAAAATAATTTGAACTATTAATATTCGGAGGTGGTATATGCAATAGGTTTGTCTAAATATTGATCACTCAAATAAGTGATCACGAATATGTGTTGTGATTGATGAAACTAATTCGAAACCACCATTACATTTAGTTATTTGAATTTTCATTTAGGTATTTTCTTAGTGATGTCTTGGCTATGAAATTCATTGAAGAAGGTTGAAGGTTGAAGAAGGGACAACACCACCGCTGATTCTTGATTCTGCCATGTGTAAACGTTTTTTGGAAAAATTCGAAAACTATTTTCCATTCTCCTCTGCATGGGTTCTGTGTAGATTTTCCACAATCTCCTAGACACCTTGTATATTTCTGCAGGAATATGAACGTACCTTTCGCTGTTCGGAGATATATATATACCTTGCATGATTCACGGCTACGGTCTTTTATACGAGAGATAAGGCGATCTTTTCTTTGTTTTACACCGGCGGCTTTTGTTACTTAGTGGGTACTTTGTCGTTTTGAATTACCTACCTTTATTCGTTCTATGCATGGGTTTTGTGCGGAATTAACAGAGCGGCTCGTAAAACATCTTGATACAGACGGTAAACTTCGTATACACTTTACATCAGCCGTTTCCAGCTGTATGTGTAGTAAATGCACTTTACAAGAAGATCATTGTAACTTGATAACGGGCTGACTATAAACTATGATATTCTGTATGAATTAGGTGCGAATATTTCCCAAGGAAATTCGAATACAACTCTTGTCGAATGACTCGAATTGTTTTTATCGAATTGAATGCATTTAATTGCAATTAATTGCATTATTGATTGATTTTTTGGCCGCCCGTTTTTCAGCGTGGAGTTTGTCTGAATTTGAAGAAAATATGCTGAATTTGAAAAAACCTCAATCAAAATTCAAGATTCTGAATTCAGAGGAGAAAAGTCCGAATTCAAAAAAAAAAGAAGTCTGATTTGAGAGAAAATAGTCTGAATTGATAGAAAATAGACTGAATTCGAAGGAAATCAGAAGGAAAGACAGTTAATGTGTTTATGGAAATCAATTCAAAGCAAAAAGTCTGCATTTGAAGAAATAAATCTGTATATCAAAGACCATAATTAGGATTCAGAAAGAGGCTGAATCGATGTGTGAAAAAATCTAAATAGAGCGGAATTAGTCTGAATTCAAATAAAATAGTCTAAATTCGAAGGAAAAAATCTGAATTCGAGGAAAAATTTGAATTCAAATAAACAACGATCAATTCAGAGATGAAAGGCTAAATTCAATTAAAATAAATATCTCGGCTCCAAATAAAATAATGAGTTTGGGGCAAACAGTCTAATTTAAAAAAGTTGGAATTCAAAAGAAAAATCCAGACATTCAAGGAACATACTCTGGATATAGAATTATTACTTAGAGAAAAATAAATAGTCTTCAATTGAAGGAGAATAGCCTGAACGCAAAGAAACCAGGTTGAATTCAAATACAAATTCAATGAAAAAGTCTTGGATTCAAATAATTCAAAATTCAGAGCAGATCATTTGAATTCATAGGAAAAAAATCTGGTCCAAATAAATTAATCCGAATTAGAGAATTCAGAAGGAAAAATTTGAGTAAAAAAAATCTGGATCCAGATAAAATGGTCTTTATTCAGAGGAAGAAAGTATGAATTGGAAGAGAAAAGTCAATTGAGATGAAATAGTCTGAATTCATCAGGGATAATAGTCTGAATTTGAAGAGAATTTTGAATTTGAACTCAAAATAGTATAATATAAAACCTCGAACAATCCTTAATAAAAAATAGACTGATTTTAAAATTATATAAAAACGAGTTTCAATTTTCCGGCAGAGTCTATAGAGGAATGCCTGAATTCGAAGGTTAATTCTGAATCTTAATAAAATAGTCTGAATTAAGAGGAAATACGCACGGAATTCAAACAAAATTCGTAATTCAGAAGATAGAAGAATATCTGTATATTAGGTACAAGAAATAAATGAAAATATTTGATAAAAATACAATATCCAACGCTGCCTGCTCTCAGCCGTAATAGAAAACGTCTCTGTTGTTGACTTTCTGGACGGGCCTCGTGTTGTTCGTTATCCTACCGTTGGCTCCGTACAATTTCCTGAATTTCTTCAGCTGCTCGGAGGAGATCATCAGCGGCTCAGGCTTGACGATCCACTTGACGCCCTCTGTGCAGGGGGGAAACGTGAGAGAGCCCGTGTACGTGTAGTAGTCCCGCGAAAAAGCGGGCATCAGAAGGGATAGGATGACGGGTTCGATGTTGATGCAGCTCATCGGGCACCTGCACAATGATAATGTGAGAACTAAAAGTACTAGTTTAAAAACTATGTAACAATACCCATTCTCCCATTCTTAACGCCGGTCCCGATGTACCACGTGATTATCCTTTGCAAATGGGGATGTCGGTAGCCTGCGGGGACAACGGCGGAAGACAAAAAACAGTAGCTAATAGTTTCTTGAATCCCACCGGTTATCTATACCATACGAAAGCGTAGAAGGCTCACGTTACGTTTTTTTTTTTTTTAATAGACAGTTGCAACTGTCTAAATAGACAGTTGAAACTGTCTAAATAGACAGTTGTAACTGTCTAAATAGACAGTTGTAACTGTCTAAATAGACAGTTGTGACTATCTAAATAGACAGTTGTAACTGTCTGAATAGACAGTTGTAACTGTCTAAATAGACACTTGCAACTGTTTATTTAAAAAAAGCATTTGGAATAATTTGGAATTTGGATAACCATTTTATTGGAATTACGGGTGATTGAAGCATCGATGTACGTTGCAAACGTAAAATCGTCATATTGTAGAATAGTTTGTCTACACCAACGGGATCAATAATTTGGAGCAGGAGACGAACCATGTCTTGTGTAACTACTAAATTATTCTGAAGGCATAAGGCATCCATCGGTATCCATGTAATTCTCCATGAGTTTTGGTATTATTTATAATGAATTGTTGAATTTCTAGGATGTCCGTTAAATTCTTTCTTCTGAACAATCCCAATTTGTGTAATTTTCATTTGAGAGTGCTTAAACTAATGTTGATATCATGATTGAGAGCCAAACTGGCCGAAATTTCAGCTTGTTGGAATCCCAAATAGAAATAAAATCTGATTAAACCATCATCCATTTTACTTTTACTATAGAAAAACTACCATCATCGTTATACACGCAATACACACAGCTCGTATTAGTTAATTATAGTTATCAGCACGTGTTTTCATTTGTTCTATGTTGTTCTGTTATTGTAGGTCGGACAGAGGACAGGGGAGTCAGTATTCACTAGTCTATAGATATCTATTTAGACAGTTGCAAGTGTCTATTTAGACAGTTACAACTGTCTATTGAGACAGAAACAACTGTCTATATAGACAGTTACAACTGTCTATTTAGACAGTTACAACTGTCTATTTAGACAGATACAACTGTCTATTTAGACAGTTACAACTGTCTATTTAGACAGTTACAACTGTTTGTCTTCCGCCGTTGTCCCCGCAGGCTTGCGACGTCCAGAGTTGCAAGGGATAATCACATGGTACATCAGGGCCAGCGTTAGAAATGGGATAATGGGTATTATTGTTACAACTAAAGAATTGTAGATTGTTTTATTAGGATCAAAAGTGACACTTTGTTTGACAAGTGGAGTGTCACTTTTGATCCGAACGAAACATGCTGCTACCGAATGAATTAACTGAAATTAATATAAGTGGAGTAACCACCAATGACTCACTTGACAGATTATTATAATAATATGAGTAAGTAGATAGAAGCAATACTCCAGACTACTTTACTTTGTTACATTTTGTGTTGACATGTATCATGTCATCAGAGACTATATGCACGAATTCAATACTACCCTAAACGTGGATATTGTGCAATGCAACAAATAATCCCCGTGTAGTGAGAATATTCTACCTGCATTTTCAGATCAGGTTTATTCTATTTTCAAGGATGTTCGAGTTGTAGTTTCATATAAACACAACCACAGAGTGACCTATTTGTGTAGTCTATTGAATAGATGAATTCATTTGGACTAGGTATCAGCCCTAATAGCAATTACCGCGCCAGTGCCAGGCATAGGAAAAATAAGTGAAGAATGTTAGGTTAGTGAGCATATCAACAATCGAAATAGCGATTATTTATTTCTCTCCATTTTCCACTGTGTTTGGCTCGGTAATCAAATGATGATAAACAATATCGTTGTGTGAGACAAAAAAGTATTGCTGGCCGTGATTATTCGAAAACAAGTTATCCAATCAATCAGATCCCGAGAGTGAGGAATGAACTACAGAGATTGAGCAAGATTGTGAATCTTGAAGACTTTCCTGATCAAAACAAAAATACTTAAATATAATGTGATGTATTTATATCTCCAGCATGGGCATGAGCCAAATCTGCCGAAATCGGAAACAAATCAGGTATGCGTCCAAATAACCAACCGTAACAATGTTGTTTATTCTTGATGACCTAGTACATCCTTGCTAGTTCCTAGGAGCTAAAGTTCAACTTTAGCTCCTAGAAACACACATTTATAGATTGTCAAACTAAACAGAAGTAGAAAATATCATGATAAAAGTGTGAATACATCTTCGATCCCGAAAACCAATTTTGAATAGATAACAATTTTGAATAGAATCGGATCATCATTACAAAACTCGTCAGCCATATTTGATGTGGCATCTTGAATTTCTAAATTCTGACGAAAGAATCATAATTTCCGACCTGGAAAACCCCCAGATACCAATTTTCAATAGAAGGATCATATTCACAGAACTCTTCCGCCATTTTGGAGCCGCCATTTTTTAATTAAAAATATTACATGGTGCATTATCACCAGAATCATGTACACCTGCTGAATTTGAAATCAATCAGACTTTTTGAATTGGGTCAAAATCACGTTCGAAGATTCCTTTTACAAACAGACCCAAAAACGAACGAACATAATATTATATATACCAAGCTAATATAAGCGTGTTAAGAAATGTAACAAACCATGTTCTTCTATCTTTGATCAAACTGAGAGACACATTTTTCATATTGTTTGATTGATTGATTGATTGATTGTTTGTTTGTTTGTTTGTTTCTTTGTTTGTTTGTTTGTTTGTTTGTTTGTTTGTTTGTTTGTTTGTTTGTTTGTTTGTTTGTTTGTTTGTTTGTTTGTTTGTTTGTTTGTTTGTTTGTTTGTTTGTTTGTTTGTTTGTTTGTTTGTTTGTTTGTTTGTTTGTTTGTTTGTTTGTTTGTTTGTTTGTTTGTTTGTTTGTTTGTTTGTTTGTTTGTTTGTTTGTTTGTTTGTTTGTTTGTTTGTTTGTTTGTTTGTTTGTTTGTTTGTTTGTTTGTTTGTTTGTTTGTTTGTTTGTTTGTTTGTTTGTTTGTTTGTTTGTTTGTTTGTTTGTTTGTTTGTTTGTTTGTTTGTTTGTTTGTTTGTTTGTTTGTTTGTTTGTTTGTTTGTTTGTTTGTTTGTTTGTTTGTTTGTTTGTTTGTTTGTTTGTTTGTTTGTTTGTTTGTTTGTTTGTTTGTTTGTTTGTTTGTTTGTTTGTTTGTTTGTTTGTTTGTTTGTTTGTTTGTTCATAGATTTCCGCATGAGTTCAATCTATTTTGAAACCAACTGATGTTGAGGAGCTTGAAAAAATTATCGATGATTTGGATAATAATAGAGCATACCATGCTTTGATGGAATTCATCTTCATATTGTCAAGGCAGTTGAATCTGAATTACTTAGTAAATTGATAAATATATCATTGGAAAATGGTTTGGAACAAAAAAATAATAAAATTACAAAATTATTACCAATTTATAAAAATGGAATTATTTCGCTGCTACCGAAATTATCCAAAATCATAGCAAAAATGTATTTAACAAAAGTTGAATTCGTATTTGATGTTCAATATGGCACATATGGCTCTCGAAAATCCTGTGACTGTGCTACACTAGAAGTAATTACTGACATTCAGCTGAAATTGAATTCCGACTGCAAATGTGGAATCTTATCACAGAGCTGATTCAGAGATGCGCAAGGATAATCAACTGGAGTCAGGGAAGGTCTGTTCTAATGTCCATTGTATTTATGGCGAAAATATGTGAAAAATCGATTCACACAGAAATCATTCAGATGCCCACTACGCAAGCGCAACTTTCCTACATTTTGATCGTTCTAAATTTGTAACCATATACTTCCAATGCCTAATTGTATCAATGTACAGGGTGATTCACCAATCACCATAAATGTCCCCCCCTCTAGCTCACTTATTTTTGAACCGTTTTAAAAATTTGAAAGATAATTTAAAATGATTTTTCTGAAATTTTTTTCCCGTTGCATCAGAAAATACAGGGTGCTCGGAACAAACGATCTACAGAGTACTAATTGATTTTTTTAAATGGAACACCCTGTATTTTATTGTATTTTTAGATTCTTCCTGAAGAGCTGATTTCATCAATGCATCACACTTGGGGTTTAGCGGGAATGATTATAGTGATATAGGGTGTTCAAAATCGAGATTTTTCAACTTTGGGATTTTTTTGAGTCGAAACTATTCATTATTGGTCAAAACGGCTTCTATGTTTCCATCCCAACTTTCGATTTACTATCTAGTGAAATTTAATTGGAACATTTACAGGGTGGTTCAAGATTCAGAATTCTGGTCACCCTGTATCTGTTCCAATTATTTAATGTCAGTAGATAGTGAATAAAAAGTTGAGATACGGCATTGAAAACCGCGTGACCGATAATGAATAGTTTCGTCACAAAAAAAATCCTAAAGTTAAAAATCTCGATTTTGAACACCCTATATCTCTGTAATCAGTCCCGCTAGACCCCAAGTGTGATATATTGATCAAATCAGCTCTTCAGGGAGAATTTAAAAATACAATGAAAAATAGGGTGCTCCATTTAAAAAAATCAAATAGTACCCTGTAGATCGTTTGTTCCGAGCACCCTGTATTTTCTGATCTAGCGGAAAAAAACTTTAACGAAAATCATTCAAGATGATATTTCAAATTTTAAAATCGGTTCAAAAATAACTGAGCTAGAGGGGGGGACATTTATGGTGAATCACCCTGTACCTGAGATACTTGAGGGCATCGATGACTGGCTCCAAGTAAGGATTCGCCACCGGCGTGACCAGAAAAAGGTAGCTGACCATCAGCAGCGATCCCTTCTTGGCGGCATCCAGGATATCGTCACTCGCAGCGGTGCCTTTGACGAAAGCCGCCTGCAGCTCCATGGCGAACCTCGATGAGTTGATCATGTGCTCTGATCCTTCGTAATCGTTCGGCCCCCACCTGAAGCATACCAAAGAAGCTAGCAAAGCCGCTCAGGAGTATTAACGTGATACTCATTCACAGAACTCATCATCTTTATACAGAGTTGGGATAAAGTATTTTCACTTCTGTCGGAACGTCTGATGTTTGATCGCACGTTCTAGTCGTAAGTTATATAAAGATTGTGAGTTCTGTTGACTCATCACATAATTTTGGGCTCATTTTAGGTTAATTCATAACCGTTGAACATGAAATTTGGGAAGGTGGCATTACATCTGCCAAAAATGAGCCCTATGTGATGAGTCTAATATTGGAACTCGTCAGTTTTGCTAACTGCTTTTGGTATACCTGAAGCGCAAGTTCAACAAGTTGTAGTCCTCGGTGAGAGGCCCGCCGATCAAAGATGGCCTTTTGTTGTCCATCCATGTCGCGTAAACCACGACGTTGTGACCGTTGTTGTACAATTTCATGTCTTGCGGTACGGCGTGGAAGTTGTCGGTGAACACCAGCTGCGGCGAGTTACCCGAAGGCATGTCTATTGCGCAGGCGTCCTAGATGGTAGGGGTGGGCGATTGAAATATTTTATTCAGCAGTGATGGTGAAAGTTTTGAAAATTTAAAATGAAATTTTCAATATATATCGAAGACTGGAACCTTTGGCACGATGATACACTACACACTGTGTTAACACTATCCAAACCGACTATTTTACGCCTCGACACGTGTTTCGCTTAGTATGTTAGCATCTTCAGGAGAAGATTGAAACTGAATGTTCAATGCTAGTGTGCTACTTATACAGTCTGTCCAAGATAAGGTTGAACAGCATGGGGATCTCGAAAACGGTAAGAGATACGAAGTCGGTTAAATGGGGAAAAAGTTGCGCATTCGGAGGCTCATATCAAGAGCCTTCGAAAATTTTTGAAATCATCTCTAGTTTTTGAGTTATATCGAAAAAAGTGAATTTTTGGAATATCTATTTTTTTTTTCTCCGTTATTATTAGAGATACAGCAAAACTGAGAATACTTTTTCATAGCGGTGATACCGATTTTTTTATGCGACGTTTCGTATTCGTGGAACCATCATCAACTTTTGTTTTTTGAATACGGTCCTGATAATTTTTTCACAGATTCTCAAAGGTTTTTTATTCTGAATTCAACCATGTATTATACAAAGTGGTTTATGTGTATTTCGACCTATTTCCAGCCATCATCAATGTTTTTTCGAAATTCCAAAGAAAAATGCCATCAGTTTCACTTATTTCTGATCATTTAGTATCAAACTTGATGGATTAGTTATTCAATACTGAAAAGTGAATAAAAAATATTTCACTACATCATTCGATGTAGTGAAATAATGTATAGTACATGGTTGAATTCAGAATAAAAAACCTTTCAGAATCTGTGAACAAATTATCAGGACCGTATTTAAAAAACAAAAGTTGATGATGGTTCCACGAATACGAAACGTCGCATAAAAAAATCGGTATCACCACGTTAAACGTCATCAAAAGTTGCTTTGAAAAAGTATTTTCAGTTATTCTGTATCTCTAATAATAACGGAGAAAAAAAAATAGAAATTCCAAAAATTCACTTTTTTCGATATAACTCAAAAACTAAGAATAATTTTCAAAATTTTCGAAGGCTCTTGATATGAGCCTCCGAATGCACAACTTTATCCCCATTCAAGCGACTTCGTATCTCCTACCGTTTCCGAGATCCCCATGCTGTTCAACCTTATCTTGGACAGACTGTATACTAGGTATAACCGTGAAATAAACTAACCGCCAAGTTAATGTTAGTCATGGTTGAGTTCACATGTCACATGTGACACATGTAGCGAAACACGTGTCGAGGCGTAGAATAGTTCGATGAAATAGCTGTAATTCTGACTTCAACATATTTTTTGGAACACAAGATCTTTTACTTTTCCGAAATGGACATCAAGTTTTGTTTCTCCAATAGACTATACAAAATCCGTAGTAAATATTTTGAGGACATATTTTTGGAACCAAAATAACACTTTTTTTTTTCAAATTAACATGTGTCCTAAAATGCACCCCATCCGAGCTACAGCCACTGTTAGTTACTTGAAAAAAAAAGTTGGAAAAAACCTTAATATTCAAAATGCGATAACGACAATAATTCACAAACAAAAATGGTATAAGTAAGGAGAGAAAAACAACTACATTCCTGGCTATACGCTTGCAATGATTCGTATATAGACGAATACAATTGCAAGTGTTTCTTTCCTAAATGCTGAGTTTTGCTTAAATTTAATTCTCATAGTGTTTCTTTCCTTCTGCCCTAGACAGCGTTGTGTCCATTTCTGTGGTCGAACGCCTATAGGGTATTGAATGCTGAGAGGTGTTTACGTTGGGTCATGTTCGCACCAGATGACGGTCATGAATGCTATCTGGGGACACCCATGCATTGATGAGATCCCAAGGTCGAAACCGGTCTGTAGGTAGTCGAGCGTTCGTCGTGGCATATAGCCAGGAAAGAACTTAGTTTTTTTCTCTTGTTTCCTACCATTCTCGTTCATGTTATGGGTTTGTCCGTTTCTCCCTCCATGTTGAAAAAATATTATCTAGATTGTTTCTAAAATGAAAAATAATCTGGAAATTGGCATGCTCCTGTTTTTTATAGGCACTATTTTTCTTTTTTGTTAAAAAAATTAAGTGAACCCCATCTAGGAAAAATTAAAGGAAAGTCAATGTTTAAAAAGAGAAACTCTAAATTCGAATAGCATAATCTTGTTGGCCATGAGATAATCCACGAATGAACGGGGGATATTTTCGTTTGTTCGTTCGTTCGTTCGTTCGTATCATATTTCTTGTTGATTTTCATATGACAAGGGCATGTTGCTGTGAATAAGTAACGAAAACAGGCTGGGAAAGAAGGTGAAATTTCTGAGAAATTTTTTTAACTTTCGTGAAATTTGGTAAATACTAGTTTTTCACATTTTCATTATGAAATTCGCTTCATTCAGACGAAAATACGTAAGTAATAAAACACATTTCCAAAAACAACCAATCGCACCTATCATTATAATATAGGTTGATACAAAATTAGATGTAAATATTTTAAGGACGTATTGTTGGGATCAAATTCATACTTTCTCTCCATATAAACATGTTTGTGTCCTACAGTGAATCCCATTTTTGTCAATAGAAGTGAGGACCCCTCTCCAACCCCCCCCCCCAACTGGGATTACATAATTTTCGAAGATGGAATGACATGAAGTGTCCAAAAGGACTGGGGCCTGCCAATTTTCAAAAGATTTGATCCGTTATTTTAGTCACAAGTTCAGAATATCTTTACTTTACGTAGGGGTGAATTTTAGGACACATGTTTATATGACTAAGTAGTCTTATTTCGATCCCAACAATATGACCTTGAAATATTCAAATCGAATTTCGGGTAATTTTGCACTTATCATGCGATGGGTTTTTTTTTCGAAAATTTTTTTTGGTACTTACGTATTTTTGTTTGAAAAACACGAATTTGATATGAAAATGTGAACAAACCATTATTTATTGAGATATAAAGTTACAAATTTCACCATCTTTTCCGCCTGTCTTCTGGATCACATTTAGAACAATTTGCCCTTCTTTTTCCATCATTGGACAATTTATATACAGTATGATGCAAATGTATGGAATAAATTCATTATTTCAGAAATGGACGACATTTTAAAAAATTCCAAAAACACGTGAGGTTTCATTTTTGAAGCCTCATCTCATGATATCCATATGAGAGATGTTACGTCACCGGTGTTGGAGTAATGACGTAATTAACGATTTTTTCAAATGAAAACAGGGGTCATGAGACACCTCGTTTGAAAGGTCTACTGATCGTCTATTCAACAGTCAAAATTTTGCATAAGAAAATTGAGATTAAAATGGATTATCATTCGATTAACTGAATCTTGCAGAGGTCTGCTACTGAGAATTGAACAACGAAGGGTCGTCTATTAAAAAAAATACATCAATTAATAAAGTTCTGAAGTCTAGTTTTTGGATTTTTTTGGAAGTCGTCTTGTTTTGAAATGAATTTATTCCATACATTTGCATCTTACTGTATATCACACAATGTTGGACACATTTTTTTTATTATATGAGTCAACTAGAAATATGATTTTCTTGTGATTTATCCATGTTTAGTGAAAAGAAGGAAGAATATCATTTGAAATAATGGCGTGTGTAATGTCATTTCAAAGCAATCTATTGACATTTGACATCTCGTATTTGGATTACATATGGATTAAATGGCTGTCATCTGGTATGCTTGCTCACTAAATAGGAAAAACTCGCCATAAAAATCATATTTCCTGTTGAATTTTCTATCTTAAAATGTGTCAGTGAGGTACATTATGAGTATATAAAGTGTCCAATGACAAAATAATAAGAGCAAGTACCTGTAAATGCATCCAACACAAGGGGGAAAAGAAGGCAAAATTTCGAACTTTTTCTTGAAATATCTCGATAAATAGTGGTTTGTTCACATTTTCATTATCAAATTCGTGTTTTTCAGACAAAAATACGTAAGTACCAAAAAAATTTTTCGAAAAAAACCCATCGCATCATAAGTGCAAAATTACCGAATTTCGAATCACCCTGTGTTTCATGAAAATTTCAAGTGAAATTTCATTTCATAATAATTGAAAGTGCAATGTTCCTAACCCTACCTGGATGTTGATGGGAGATTGCCTGCTGCCTCCTGCTTGTTGGTACTTCCTTCTCCAGACCGCTGGACCGTCGTATTCGCTGTAGCCGTAGAGGTTGAGCGTGTCAGTGGGAGATGAGCGTGGGGCGTAGTCTTGGTGCCAAAGGTCGTTGAGGTACAGGCCGCCTAGCACCAACAGTGATAGTATGAGGAAGTGGAAGTGGGAACCCACTTCCTCCGGCAGGTAGGAGGTTAGCCAGTCCATGGCTGGTGGTTTCAGTGACCGACATTGAAAATGTGATGTTTGTTCTCGAGTTCTGACATCGCGTCATTTCAACGTCAGTAGAACGTAGACAGAGCGTGTAATAATTTGGCGACCGTAATCAAACAAAGTGTTTGCAAATGGTAGAATCTTGATGGATATTCTAGAGCTGACGAAGGGCAACAGTTACAACTCTGGTAATGTTAGATATTCTTGATGGGAAGTTACAAAATGCTGTCCAGAAAAAACTATTACAGACCCTTTCAACACTCGGCTCTACTGGGACGAAATGGTCTTGATCAACTGTCAGGAAGGCACGTTAGTGTGCTGCACTGACCGGTCTAATGCTGATGAGAGTACAGGAGCCGGAATATATGGAGACAGACCCAGTATTCCAGGCAGAGGTGCATGCTATTGAGGCATGTCTGATAGAGAATATCGTGAGAGGATACAGAGGTAAACAAATCCTCATATGCCCTGATAGTCAGGCGGCCATCCAATCTTCAACATGCAATGAAACCAGATCAAGACTGCTCTGGGATTGCCTTCAAAACCTGCTAACCCTGGCTAACCACAACAAGGCAACGCTTCAATGGGTGCCGGGGTATAAGGGAATTGAAGGCAATGAAGCAGCTGACGCTCTTGCTAGGAAAGGGTCTGCGGCGAGGTTTGTTGGACCGGAACCTGTGTTCGGAATCCCCAAAACCTCAATACGTGGCTGGCTGGCAAGGTGGACGCAAGAAAGACATCAGGCATACTGGAACAACGTTCCAGGCCAAATACACACCAAACTGATGATTGGATCACTGTCCAAAACAATGACTAACGACATTCTGAGCCTAAACAAGAGTCAGATCAGACAAGTGACGGGACTAATAACCGGTCACTGCCCCTTGAGGAAGCATATGCATCGAATGGGCATCTATACGGACGAACCCATATGCAGACCATGCAATGAGGAGGAGTAAACGGCCACCCATATAATATTGGGGTGCGAGGCACTAACGCGTTGGAAATACAACCTTCTGGGAGCACTAAGTCACATGAGTTTTTTTTTTAACGAAAGATTTTTTTTTTATCGCTTGGAGCGCACGAAAGGGAATCCCTATAATGCTGCTAAACCTCATCAAGGTAGCGACCCTGTTCACCTGAGTCAACAACATGATCAGGAATACAATATATAGTACTATAGAGGCTGCAGTGTTTTGGTCTTCGAACCCTGACTGGTCATTCTGCTATTCAAAAACAAATCTTATCTTACCTCGAATGTGCATAATATGACTTATGGTCACTTCACAGTAACTTTTTGCACTGTGGCTCACTATACCAGAGTTTCATTTGAAATACCCTTTTCGTTCAGGTTCCTGAAGACTACTCTTCCAAGCCCTGATATTGTGCATGAAGAAGGCTAAAAGTTTTCCTTCTCCTACGAGTAGTAGGAAAAGGAATTGGTCGAGCCCTGTGATGCCCCCCGCACTGGGCTAAGGTCCCGTTATTGACACCATACAGGGTGTTTCATAATATATGAAAATATAACCATCCCCTTTCAAATGTACAATTTTCGACATACAGAGTGTCAAAAAATTTGAAGAAAAAGTTCATCTTTCGCGTATTGTATGTATTGTCTAAGATCATTTAACAAAAGTTAGTTTTTGGTTTTTGACATGTTCCAATGTTCCATTCACCCACACAGCGAAACAAAACACTTTCCTTGCATTCCATATCCGAAAGGAACACTTTATATAACTCTAGAATCGTACATTGCACAGGAAACATCTTTCGTAAGCATTTTCTACCCATAATAAGCTATGTTTTATGCGGTTATTTTTTTAGTCATTGGTGAAGATTTTGAAGGGGTAGTGAGCGTTTTTCTCCCAAGCTTCTACGGCACTGGAAAAGGAACAGTTTTGAGCAACCCATTTGAACCTTCGATGTTCTCTACACAAAAAGATCCTCTCGGTCATAAGCTCTAAAGTTGATCGTTCTCAAGAAAAATCAATAGTTTTAGTTTTTTTACAAATTGAACAAAATCTATTTAAACGTTAGAACAAGTAACGCAACCGAACGTTAACTTGATATTGCAAAATTAAAAAAAAAACTATGACAAATTGTACTCAGTTGAATTAATAATTGTTGGAAATGTCCGCGGTTAGCTTTAAAGCACGCAGCAATTCTTCAAAAAAATCATCATGATTTTCAAACTAGAAGTTGATTTTTATCGAACACGGTCAACTTTAGAGTCTATGACCAAGAGTATATTTTTTGTGTGGAAAACATTGGCCGTTCAAATGGGTGCCTCCAAACTGTACTTTTTCCAGTGGCGTAGAAGTTGGAGAGAAAAACACTCACTATACCCCTTCAAAATCTTCCGACCAGCCGCAGCCGCTTGTGTATCCAGCACCATGATTAGTTTGGGTTTTGGGAAAGATGGAAAAGATAATTGGCCAGGAAAGACCGATAGGAAAGATTAGAAACTGAAGAGAGAAGATGATACTATCTAACACAAGTTGAAGATTGATGAGTATCTGGCTAGGGTACCTCGGATTCGTCGATCCTGTACTCACAAGTCGTGAGCTCCTGAGGGTGAAAGTTACTTCATATTTCGTTCACGACGATGATTTGGCTGATGTACAGTTCCCCTCCAGACATATAAAGACGGACAGAATGGGACAGTGGCCTGTTAGTGGCCCAGTTACCATCCTAAGCTAGTTTTTATTCTATTTTCGGATATAAGCAGTTAGAGCTGGTGTGTTTGTTCAATCACTCAGTGTTGATCCTCTTATTTCCGCTAGTTAGTTTGGCTTTCGTTGCCTTCTATCCCACAAAACCTAAACTGACTTGACTTTTTGAAAAGTATTGTTACGATATCTCTGAGTTCGGTTTATTGATAATAATTCACATTTAATAATTGAGCCGTAACTATGGCTGGCTGAATTATTGGGTTATCTAATTCACTATACATAGATAGTAATAGCTGACAACAACATGAATCTTGAATTTAACAGAAACTATTGTGATATTATATTAGACATGCTCTTCCACCTTGTTGAGCTCCATGAGCTGCATCCAAACTCAACTACTGTTTAATCGAGATGAAGAGCTGGAAGAAAGTACGACGTAGAAAGGAAGATTCAAGCGGTGAGTGCCACTCAATGGCTAACAGTAAACCATTCCAAAATTGGGTACTTTGAATCTAGAGTCACAATTTCATGATATCGAGAGGCCATTCTTTTTAACTCGAGCATGCTCGAGCACAGTGCAACATATTTTGCTCCGGTTATTTCGTTTGAGAAAATCCGGAAAAAGACTCGAGAGCCGACTCGGGTGGAAATTGGCTGAATGAAGTCTCCGTAATGTTTCCGTGAACGGGGGTAATTTGGCGCCGGAGATCACGGTAGTAGTAATCCGAGACGTTCGTTCGGATATCGAGGAGGGTCTTCTAGAGCGAAACGCGATTCGCTTTATTTAATTTCCGACGGGGTCGCGTTTCGTTTGACGTCGCAGGCGACAGACATCAGGTCTCATCTGGTTTTTTTTAACTCTTGGAGCACACGAAAGAAAACTGAAATTGATGCGCGCTCAGTTTTTCACACAGGTCACTGGATGGAAATGAAATTTCAAAAGGCTCGCCAAGGCCGTATCCAGAAAACCATTCCGGGGGGGGGGGCGGGTTGGTTTGGTAGAAAAGTAGAAAATCAAAGAATTGTTTCAATCAAAGAAATAAAATAGTATTACTTATCATACATATAATATTCATCCGGAAAGCCTTACAGCATCTTGTTACAAAATTAAAATCAGTCTTCTAGCTTGCTTCGCAGCGAACAAATCAATTACCTCCTCGGTGTTGTGTCAATTCTGCAGTGGATTGACATTATAACGCCAGACCGTTCAGTCTTTCCTGGCCTGTGGAATTTCTTAAATAAGTTTTGAAGCGTTTCAGAGAAGAGAAAATCCTCTCAGGGGTACATGCCGAAACAAGCAGTGTCGCCAAGATCTTTGAAAGTTTGTGGATGTTTGGAAACAAGCCCTGGTTGCATTCTCCGAGAGCTTCAATAGCACATGTTGGTCGATTTAGTTCAGATTGTTCCAGCTATTTAATCCGCCATATGTCTAATTCAGCTTTTACAAAGTCCCATTCTAAGTAGTTTTCTTGATAATTACGAATAATTTGTTCTTTGCAACACAGAGACGGAATTAAAATGTTGAGAGATGATAATGTGGCTTTATGATTTTGGAATCTTGACTGAAGCTGATCTATGAAATCATCCGAAAGTAGAATCATTATAGTGATTCTAAAATAAGTTTCAAGATCTTTTGTGTTGTAGTTTGTCCTATGCTCTCGGCTTGACGCTAGTCGCGGAATTTTCATTTCCTCGTTTACAGTACTGAGCAAATTCTGTGCATTCTTGAGGAGTTCAGCGAATTTTGAGTCAATATTTTGGCGAACATCTTCAATAGTCTTTATGATTGAATCGACATGTTGTAAAGTTCATGCTAAATCGCATAGGGGAGATTGAAGTATGTTGCATAGTGTAAGTGTGTATGGGAATAACATTCCTGCGCCGCTATCTACGCATCTCTCATTTCATTGATACTTACTTGAAGAACAATTTTTTACATCATTTCGGAGAGGGATCAATCCCCCTTGATCCCCTCCTGGCCTTGAGGCTCGCTAACAGTAGAATATACAGGGTGTTCCATATGCACTGCATAACACGGCAGTGTTACCAGGAAATATGAAAATATCATCAATTTCACCTAAAAATGATACACTTGTTTAGTTTTGATAACACTCACCATTTTCAAGATAAATCGATTTCAAAAGTCTGCTGCGTAATAAAAATTGTACTCTTTCTTAATAGGATACCTACCATATGAATTTTCAAATCATTATTTCCATTGTTCCTCTCATATTTTGAGTAAAACATCATAGGTAGGTAGGTAGATGATGAAAAAAGGGTATTTTCTATCGATTTCTGGAAAAATTTGCTATTCTATTATAAGGAAAAAGCACTATTTTTGCTACGCAGCAGACTCTTATAATCGATTTATCTCGAAAATGATG